CAGCAGCAGCAACAATAACAACAACAGCAGTAGGTTTCTTCTTCTCCGAGTAGCTGAGTACGTAACCCGTTAACCTTTTTGGGGCTTTTTCATCTTACCATAATTGAAAGGTTAACCTTTTTTGGGCTAGGGTACTCAGCCCCTAAGTTCTTCTGTTTCTTATTATTCTCATTTTTCTTGTAATACTAGTGGTGATGACGATGATGATGCTGATGATGATGTTGTTGTGATGTAAGAAAGCCAAAGTTGACGCGGTGTGAAAGGGAACTGCATTGAGGCTCAGGGTGATTAGCAACGTTTTGGGTTGGGTTCTTCCAAGGATGTTGCTTGTGCTCGCAGTTGGTGGTCTGGCTCAGGCGGACGGCGTGGGCATGACGTGCGCGGTGATGTATGGACTTGTCATTCCGGGGCTGCTGCTGTACCTGATCCTCAAGCAGCACAGGGCCTTGGAGCCCAGCAGGCAGCATGGTTTGAAGGTTTCAGCTCTAGGGCCTTGTCTCAGAAGGAGCCAAAGTCGGTATACAAGGGTATGACATCATGGTTCTCAACAGGGTGAGCCTGGTGAGCTGCATCTAAGAGTTCATGGAATCAGCTGCTGCATCTGTCAGGCGCTTCGCCGGGGCCGCAGAGGATGAAGGTGACTTGGTGAAGGTGAGGGTGGAGCCCTTGTGGCGAACGGTGTCGGCGTCGGCAGAGGACGGGACCCTAATTCGTGTGCGCTTGGATTAATTACCGCCAAAGCGCGGGCTTGTCGGGGCAAACAGGCCCTGGCTCCTTCAACTTTTTCTTTCAGGGAGCCTGAGGCTCAAGAAGCCATCCTGGCCAGAGCAGGAAGCCGCCTACATGTACAAAGAAGCTCTAGCCCCCAAGAACCCGATAGGAGCTTGAAAGCCTGGCAGGAGCAGGAGTCATCGAAGCATCTCATGGCTGCGACTGCGGCACATTGTGTGCTCTTTTCAGGGCGTGTGCGCCTGCAGCTTCAGAAGAGCCACGTGCGCCTGAGCTGAAGTCATGATGGTCGGGCATTCGCTACCGATCGTCCTGGATTCATAGTCAAGGGCTTGGTGGAAAGACCATGAGGGAGGAGATTGTCTGTTGTATGCCTGGATGATCTTTTGACTTATAGTAAGTCTAAGTACTATCGCCGATAGCCCCGATTGTAGCCCAATAACCCCTGTAACTGAGTAGATCATCCAAGTGAAGAGTGCGAGAAAAGTAGGAGCGCTGGGAGCCAGCAGCTGAAGCCCCTGTGCTGCCTCGATCGTCTGCCTCAGCTGAGGATCCTCCAATCAGTGGAGTCAAAGAGGGAGCAGGACAACGCAGTCTTCGATGCTGCTTCCATGCATCAAAGCAACTACGGTGACAGGTACAAGGAGGTAACCCCTCCCTCCCTTCCCCTGAACCCCTGATCAGAAATACTTCCGAAAGAGTATAATATGCCATTATGTGCACATTTATAGTTCATTGAGTCGTGTGAGTATTCTTAAGGGAGCGGATTAGTTTCCTTGCGGCCTGGACGGTCTGCCTCGATCCTGAGAGCAAGGTGACCTCGGCAACCTTGGACGCCGCCTTTGGAGGTACGAGCGATGCAGACATGCGGCGCTGCCAGTCGATGACAAGGCCCATGTTTGCACAATCAGCTAGAGGGAATGCCCGTTGAGTCTGAACTGCCACGCGCTTTGCAGGGACTTGTGTAACGCCAGCTGCAGAATGAGGCTCTTCCCACAAAGCCAACCGTAGACGTGATCCTTCCGTTCCGTTTTCCTGATGGGATGGAGTTATGCACGGAAGACCCACGTCTAGGGCAGCACATTTTGGGGCTTGCGTGAAAGGCGCCACTCTTTGTCTGATGCTGCCATGTTCGGCATCAGCCAAAGCTGCATGACAGGATGTTGACGGAACGCTGCATCCTGGAGGAAGTAGCTCATTCGGACAGATGCCTGGCAGCACAAGGAGTTTCAATTTCGGGACGGCTATAGGCGGCGTTTATGAAATTGCTTTTTCATCATGTAGGGAACAGACACCCCTAAACCCTATACCAAAAACCCTAAACCTGACATTGAACTTCTTGCATTATGCGCTAGGCTGTTCTTCTGTGAGCTCAGGCCTCCTGACCCGTGGCTGCTTCAATTCCGTTTGGCATGCAAGACCCCCGCATCACTTGTTTTAGGGTTTAGGGGTTTAGGGTTTATTACAATTAACATGGTTACGGTGATGATGATGATGATGATGATGATGATGTTAGATAGATAGATAGATAGATAGATAGATAGTTATCAGAAGCCAAGTAGGGAACTCTGATATTACGCAGTAGTTCCCAATCTCTTTCCCATTCATATAACCATCCGAGGAGTTCTGGCCGGGGCTAAGGAGCTGCTGTTCAAATATGCTGCGCGGCTGCTCGAGACACTGCGAGTCTTGAGTCAGTAAGACCACCGGACCGAAAACCTTTAAGCATCATGCAGCTCAACCGTAGTAAACCCCGTCCCCCTAATATTGAATATTCTCACGATACTGTACTATACCACAAGGAGAATATTTAATGTTAGAAGGAGGGGATTACATAATCTGATGGCATAGAATTCTCTTTCCAGGTGCGAATCAGGACTCTTTTGGTTGGGAAGGTACGCTGAAGGTACGCTGTTGACAGCCTCAAGCTGCCCTCCGAGGCGATGATTCGTGACGTCTGGTTCGAAGTTGCCATGAAGCTCGTGGCTGTCATCCTGGTTGCCGTGCCTGGGATGCTCTTGAGCAGCGGCATAAACCCCTATGAACAAGTTCTAGAAGAGGGTTCTCATATCGATTGGGGATGCTGCAACAACTGGTGCGCACGTCAGTGTGCCTCAGCATTTTGCCGGTGCATGAGTCCGCGTTAGCTGAGGTAGCCTCCACCGAGAGCGGCCTCAAGCTGACTTTGTGCTTCACGCTCGCGACGGCCATTGCCGTTGGCACTCTGCAGCCCTACAGACAGCGCCAGGCCGGGATGCAGGGGTTGATTTGAAAGCAATTTCTAAGTACTACTAACCATAATGCCTATATTGTTTTGTATAGAGCCCCCTAACCCGAGTCAGGAGCAATGCTGAAGTTGCCATATGTAGATTAGAGGTTGGCTTGTGCTCTAGGGATATGGTAGGGTACTGCGTGGCTGTGGAAGCTAGTGGCCTTAGCTTCTCTGGCGTTGCTAGGCCGCAGATACGCTTCAAGCCCTTTCTCAGGTCAACGACCTGCAGTGCTTCTGCTTCGTTTGCTCCCTGGCATATCCAAGAGCAGACTGTAGAGCAACGCTTTGAAGAGCTATTTTCTACTACTTGTATCCTGATCCCTATATAACCCCTATGAAGCCATTCTATTTTTACAAGGCTTCCAAAACAGGGGTCGCTTTGGGGTTCAAAGAGCTTAGGTCTGGCTGCGGCTTCCATCGGCTTCGCCGAGGGGTGGGTGGCCCTGGCACGCGGAGCGCTGGCCGCGCCGTTCGTCCTGGCGACTTGTGTGGCAAACTGCAAGAGTTCTAAACTTGCTGGGGGTTAGTAGGCAATAAGGGAGAACTTTCCATAGGGGTTATATATGGATATTTATTCAATAAATGTGTTCCCATGTTCCTTTAACCTCCACCACCAAGTAAAACTCCAGTTACCTGAATGGTGGGTTTGATATAGTTCAGGAAATAAGGGGCAGAGGACCCAGAAGCCATTATTTCGGTAAAGGGTGTGGCATGGAGGCTCCGAAGGTTTCCTGAGCTCTTCAAGTAGGGCCGCCTTGGTAGGACATGTGCGGTGAAGGCTTTCACTCCGGTTGTGGAGACGTCTTCAGCAACAAGCCACGAAAGCCAACAAAGCCCAATTCTGCTCAGGCTGGCGCGCAGGTCTTACGCCCAGGCCAGACTGGCCAGACTTTCTGCGGTTGGCTCATCCTGTCCTGAATCTTCCGGCTTGTATTGAAAGGTTTTGCACAGACGAGGGGCTGAGGATTGGGGCAGAGTCTTATCTGAAACTTCTCTCACACCCTCCGCAAGAGAGTCTGCACAGAAGCTTGTAGGCTTTTTGTCCAAGTCCTGCACGTAGCCTTGGGCCTGTTGTTTCCGGGTCCTCGTGTAGATCCTCGCGCACATCTACGAAGTGATGCCCGTTTTGTCTCGGAGGAAGGGCAAACCCCGCAAAGATCGTACGGACGTTGTAGCCTTTGCTTGGAGAGAGTTTGATGTAACTGTTTAATACGAGACATTTGGATGTGGGCCGAAAGTACAGTGGGCGGGGAAACAACAGAAAGGCGATTGACTAAGCACCGCTGCTCAGATGGCCTCGATGCGCTGGCACTGCGCCTGTTCAAGGCCAGGGACGAAGAAGTGCGGAACTGCTTTCAAGTCAGGTTTCTTCGAGCAGCATACTGTGTCCAGGTGTGCAGGTGCGCAGTCTGCACGCAATGCAAAGCTCTGAAGCTTGGTTTCGTGGACTGTGCAGACTTAAAGTCGAAGCAATCACCGCCCAAACCATTTACCTCACAGTCCTGCGACCTAGTTGAAGATCTGTTTTCTTCATGCTGCAGGAGGTGGAGCATCACTGGCCCGCTTTGGAGCGGGAGGAGTCCGTGGAGCTCTTGGTGTAGAGGCGTGGCGAGGGTTTCTGCTTCCAAGCCAAGGTTTAGCAACTTGGGATGGAGGAGCGAGAGGTCAAAGGGTTCAGGATGCAGAACAAGAGCTTGAGGTCTAGTGGGCAAGAATTGGGTTGGGAATTTGACTTGAGGTTTTGTTGGGTTGAGGTATGGGTTCAGGCCTTTTCAGGATTGAGAGTTTGTGCTTGAAGGTAGGGATCTGAGGCCAGATGGCTGAGCTTGATGTACGCGGTTGAGTGAACGGCGCACCATGATACCTTCATTGGAGGATCATGGGTAGTTAGAAGTGGGACTACAAGTCCCCTAACCAGGTTTCATTACAGTAAACTCACCTTAATTACAACTCTTGCTAAAATACCCAGGAACCCCCCAAGTATAAATAAATAAGTAAATACATAAATAAATAAATACATACATAAATAAATACATAAATAAAAAATTGATCAACAAATACATAGATAAATAAATAAATAAACATATATATATATATATGTGCATATATATATATATATAGATAGGGCTTAGTGGCCCTGGGACATATGCGCATAGAGAGGCCTGCAGTTTGGGAGCTGGGCGTGTGGGAAGGATGTTGGTCTTGTTCCCTTTGGACCAGTGTGTGGCTCAGAACTCATGTAGTTGTGACAGGAAGCCTGAGATTCTGAGGTTTCGGCGCCTTCGAGTATAATAATATAGAGAAAGTAACAGCCATTCAGAAAGCTTGGGCTTCAGAGGTTCTAATCCTAATCTGACGCTGGTGATGCTCGTCAGGTGTCTTAGGGTATCTTCTTTTGCACCTCTGGCGCCTGAAGATATCCCCAAATCTCGGAATCATGGTCCGTCCTGGTGATGCATAAGCGGAACGACACTGTTGGCGGGCGGACATCTAAAGAAGTCTTAAGAACGGGGCATAATGAACCATAGCAAGAGCAGCAATACGGCATCGAACCGACGACAACGATCCAGGCAGCACCAAAAGAACGTGGCTGCTGGCATGATGCCATGAGCGGAGCAACCCCAGACGAAAGAAGCATTTGTGATAAGGGTTCAATTTTTTTTGAAAGGGTACTGGAACCAAGGGTAAATAAGAGCCCAGCAAATTTGCCAGGAAGAGAAGCCATCGGATGCACAACCGCATTTTGCGGAGGAGACCGGAACTTCCCAGTTGCAGCTGTAGTTTTGGTTGATGGTAGGCTGAAGGTTCAGGATTTGATAGCTTGGACAAGTTGTGGTTTCTTCGGTGCAGCAGCCGAGTTTCTGTGAGACTACTCAGAAATCTGAGACGCAGCCTCAGACAGCGGATCGCTTCGGGAGGCTTTCTGATGCATGGACCGTGGATATGTTGGGGCAATGGCTTTCTTGTCAACGGTTGTGAGCAAATCACAACGCTTGCGTCGGGCACGCAAAACAAGCTTGGCACAGTGTCCGCCGGTCGCACTCACACTCCAGACATTCGTTGGAGTGACAAGGGAGAGTGGACGCTACGGTGTAACTACAATCCCATTTGGCATCTACATGCATGTGGAACCCACTTATCTGAAGCGAAATGATGACATTCCCTGTCAAACAGGTGAGAAGCGTAGCCTTGAGAAGGCACTGAGTGCGGTGAAGAGCAGCCGCGAAACAACCCGTCTTTCATTCTCAGGTCCCACAAAGTGCTGACAAACCCAAGGCAAATTTTCTTTGTTAGGGGTCTTCGGGTGTCTTCTTCTACAATTTTGGCGCGTGAAGACATCCCAAAACATCAGGAACCATGGTCCGTCTTGGTGATCCTTGCAGGGGGCATGGGGAACCGGGATCTTGAGCCACGCTTCTGGAATAGGGGTTGGCAAGTGGGCATCTAGATGAATTTCAAAACATGGCATGGTAAGCCACAGCAAGGATGGCCATAGAAACTTTGGAAGCAACACAAGCAGCAGCAACAAAACGCAGGTTCGTTGGGAACAAGGGAATATGATCCCTATTTAGTCCTTTGCATAATTTTTCCTTCGTTTCCACTAACCACCAGTAAACATGGTACTGTGGCTGTCTGAAGATGTCTGAAGTGGGTATTAACACCAAGTTTAAGCATAAAGCCAGAATTTCTGCCAGGACGAGAAGCCTTGGTACGAACAACCGCATTTTGCGGAGAGAAAATCAGGCTGAGCTTCCCATTTACCGCTGCAGTTGCTGGCTGACAGGCAGATAGGGCGCTAGAAGTTCAGGATTTGGGGCTTGGAGACTTGATGGTTTGTTGGCGGCAGCCAAGTTTGTGTGAGACTCATGAGAATGCTAAGATGCTGCTTCTGGTAGGATGTCTTTGTTCGGGGTTTGGTGAGAAGGCATTCTAACGAGCCGTGGATGTGTAGGGGAGTGAGGACGTTCTGTTTTCAAAGGCGACAGGCGACGGCTTTGCCTTCAAGAAACACTGTTGGTGGAATGCATCACACTTCTCTGAACAACCGCAGCGCCAGGTGTATTGTGCTTGAGACTGGAGACAGCTTGCTTTCCACTGTTTCTTTTCGGCTCATTCCGCCAGCTCCGGACTAGGGAGCTCTCAGCATGACATAGTCGGTACTGTGCAAAGCCCCGTCAGGGGCATCAGGGCGAACACGAAAAAAGGCATCTACAAGTTTAGTAGTGTTCGCGTTATTCTGCATACTCCTCGGGGGTTTTAGTGCGTACAGGGGGCAAAGCTGTAAAATGCCGGCCTTGGCCTTTTGTGCTTGGCCGTTTGTGCGTTGGCACTTCTGCTTGCCGGAGAGCGCAAGGAGCGGCACGGGCAAACGTCCGTTGGGATGCAGATGAAGAGTACCCAGGTTTTGTGTAGGATGTAGAAGCTGACGTGGAATCAGAGTTTCAGAGGTTTCAATCCCGTAAGCACCCCAGTGCTGCAGCATCCTAAAGCTTGCGTCATAGGTATTTGAGGATTCCTCATTCGGGGTCAAGTGTTGTCTCGTTAGCGAAGGTCCCCTAAGTCCCCTATGTCGCTCACAGCATCTTTGCTCAGCTGCAGTGCTTGATGCTCGGGCCCATCGTGCGTGCAGTTCACGCATGAACCCTTGTATCATTTCGGGGGAAGTAAGTATTACTACGTACTGCAAACTAACACATTTGTAGATACCTAACCCCTAAACCCTAAACCTTAAACCCTAAACCCAAACTAAGTATGTAGATACCTCAGAGCTTGTGCGGGCCATGGCCAGCCGGCTTCAGATGGGATGTCCGGCAGGATCTGGAGTAGACAAGCCTGTCACATGCAAGAGCTTTACATATCTTGTCATATTACATTATGCGGTCGTTTAGCAGATGAACTTGCATTCTTTGATCTTAGCTTAAGTTGTACTAAGTTCACCGCTGAGCCTCTACACCCAAAGCCCGACTTCACAACGAATACCAGCAGTCGTCCTCGGGATGTCCAGCTCCGAACAGCCTGGTCACCATGAGGCTCTCAGTTACGGGTTTTGGGTCACTGAGCGGGGTTCACACAGAAGTTTAGAGAGTTCAGGGTACAGTGGTTTAGGGCAGGGTTTGAAGGTTCGTGGGGTTTCTAGAGTTTAGGGGTTTGCGGGTTTGGTTTTAAGGACTAGGGTGACTAGGGTTTAGGATTGTCTTGGTTGCTTGCGTGTGGTCTAGGGTCAAGGGCTTGAAGGGTATAGTCTTTGAAGATGTATGGGTTAATTGAGACCTGGCTGTCACCATTGAGAGGCTGTTGGACGGGCTACCCAATCACTTTGATGTGAGGCCGGCGTGCAGGTGGTGCACACGAAGTAGCGCAAGCCTTCCATTAGTCAGCATCATATGCAACAGCTGGCACAAGTTGTGCTGTGATTGGCGGTAATTAATTTCCACTGTCAAGACTAGCCTCCAAATTTATTTTCTTGCATTTAACCATAGGCTCTTTAAATATGCAATGCCGAAATGACGACTTTCGTATGTGGGAGCTCTTGACGTGTTTGCTGTGGGCATGGTCCTGACCGGTTGCGGGCGATGCCTTGAGGTGTTGTTTGATCTCCGTGGTATTGTTAAAGCAGGTTCAAAGATTTACTGGAGTCGCAGGAAAGGTTAGTGGAAGCATAGAAGCTTGTTGACACACAAGCGCTGCTCAGATGGCCTCGATGCGTGGGCACTGCGCCTCTTCAAGGCCCGGCTGGCGAAAAGGATTCTAGGAATGCCAGTGTCCAACTGCACCAAGCTGCACGCATGTGCACCAACGTTAGATGTGAACCAGGCGTGGTGGACCCTCGGAGACACAGCTTTCTCAAACCCTAATCGGCCACGTTACATTATTCTTGTCATTATTGTTATTGTTATTCTTAGTGCTACTCTTACTACCAGTCTTATTATTATAAATATTGCGATATTATTCCCTGTAATAATATGATGCTTACTAATGATATTATTGTTATGGTTGTATTCTCGTTTTGATTGTTACCATAATTTGTTTCGACATGGTGCTGCAGGAGGTGGCGCAGGAGTGGCCTGCTTTGGAGCGGGGCGACGCCGGTGGAGCTCTTGGAGCTGAAAGGCGCTTGGAGGGATGAGGTTTTGAGATCCAGGATGTTTCAACCTCTATAGGGTCTAGGGTTTAGGGTTTAGGGCTTAGGGTTTACGGTTCAGGGTTCAGGGTTTAGGGTTTAGGGTTTATTGGGCTGGGGCCTGAGTTCGGAGGATTGCTGACGCCCTGATTTTGGCTTTGCCTGCAAGTTTGTGATCCGAGTACTTGTCTGGGTGTGATGGTGCATCGTGATGTGTCAAGACTATGGAGCTCATGTGGTCCTTCTAGTAAGGATGCCGCGATCTTGGGGATATGTGGGGCTGTTTTGAGAGCCCATGCACATCGAGAGAAAGATCTTCACAGTTCCGGCCTGCTTTTATAGCCAGAAAGCTCAGGGGGTCAATGGCCAGCTGGTTATTTGAGGCTCTGGAATCCGTGAGCTGCTCGTGCCAGCGTCAAAGATTTTATGAGCTTGAGGTCGAGTTCATGCTCCAGTCGGTTTGGTTTGAGCTCAAGACTTTGTGGCTCATGATCGTGGTCTGGTGGGTATCCTGTAACAGTAGGTCGTTTCGGAAAGTTCTTCGGACTTAACAAGGCCCGGTCGAAGGTTTGGGATTCGGTGTCCCGGGGTATCATCATCATACTTCCAGGTGCACGACACCTCGGGTGTCTGAGAATTCCTAGGCGCTAGGCCGTGTGTAGCCACCTGGCGAGTCTCGAGTGCCGTAACGTTGAGGGCTTTAGAACCGTAGGCTCCAAAGCAGCTCCTTTTCACCTTTTTGGATCCTAAACATGAACCCCCCAAAGGAACTACTATGGAGTTCTGTGGGTAGCGACAACGGCAAGCATGGAGCCAAGACCAAGTGAGAAGCAAGAGCCCAGATGTCTTGGCCAGGAGGATCTTCCGTCTTCTCGTAGAGGGCATCGCATTCGAATGGTTGCAGCTTGGGGCGAGAGAAAGCAAACCGGAGCTTCCCTGTTCTTACTGTACTTCTGGTGGATACTGTAGTATGCTAAATTGAATTTTTAATTGCTGTTGTCCATCGTGGTGAAATAGATCATACTGGGATTATTTGACTTGGTGAGGCGAGGATTTTTGTTATTAGGTGGGTGGGGTTATAACTTGTGAGAAAGGCAGGGCATTTGTTTGGTTTTTGGGGGTTGTGCTCAGCACGCATGATAAGCATACGCGCGAGGTTTGGCGGCATGCCCGCTGCCTCTTACTCCATGTCACGTATATGTCGGAAGCGCCGTTTATGTACCTTCGAAATCCTTTGCAACATGTGAATCCCAGGCGCTTGAGACTGAGAAGCCATGCGTTCCGGCGTCACTTTTGGGCTCACTCTGCCAGCTCCGGACTGCGGAGCTCTCAGCATGCTGTTGTCTGTGCTTTACCCAGCTCCATCAGGACAAACATGAGGAAAGCATGTGCAAGTTCGTATTTTTGTTGCGTCATCCTGCAGGTTAGTCAGTGGCTTTTGCATGCAAACGGGGCAACGCTCTATCTGTGTTAGCCACCCATGGGGGCCTTGACGGTCTTGGCCTTCTGCGTGCTGGCAACCTTGCTTGCCGCGGAGCGCAGCGAGCGGCATCTGCAGGTGTTTCTGGGGACCGAAACCGATGCAGAAGAGCACCATGGCGATGCCCGGCAGCACCTGATCAGCCTAGCTAGCGCTGGAAGGTGAGGTTGAAAGGAGGTCTTCTGCGTAGCACCTGTGTGAGGTGCATAGGGCCGACACCAAGCCTGGAAGCCGCACGCACATCGAAGAGGCCCGAGCCGGTCTGCGACTTTGTTACCGGGTGTGTAAGCCTCGGTCCTGGAAGACAACCAGAAGTAAGCATCCTTCTGAGTTTTCAAGCTGCTGGTAAAGACCCGCACCACGCGAGCTGTTGGCCTCCTTGAGGGTGTTAGGGTGCAGGGCTCAGAGACGTTTTGCAAGGGTTTGAGCCAACGTTTTGGGACTTGGGGGTTTAGGGACGCCCCCACTTCGTTGCTGAATCCGAAAGCTTGCAGAACCGTGGATTGCAAGGATCTCGGATCGTGTTGAAGTGAGGACCAAGCAAAGCTCCACTGAGCTCCTTCCATTTCCTTGTGCGTGGAGGCATTCCCCTTAGACGCACCCTCCAAGCTCCCCATTCTGTCATGATGTGGGTAGAAGTTCGTAATCGCAGATCCATTCCCGTGGCTCCTAGGAGGGAGTGAGTGCAGGTCGCAGCCGGCAGCGCCACGAGGCTCGGCCTGCCCGGTCTGAGTGTGGCCTGGCACCACTTGGATCGTCATGTCGCCGTATTCTTGTTGGGATTGCTGCAGAAAACTCTGGGTGCCTGTTTCTGGTCCCTTGAAATAGTTGGAGCACTTATAGATGCAAGGTACCGGGCCGGAGGCCTTGAGGTCTGCCTTCCTGGAGCTCGGGGTTCCGGCTAAAGAGCTCACGGGTGATCCATGCTCCTGGCCCGGAGCTGGCTGCGATGAAAGCGACTCTGGGATCTTGTTGTGAGACAGCCTCAAACTTGCTTCTTTCTGTGCAGAAGCAGCAGGGGGGTTGAACCCAGGAGTGCGTGGTGAAGATCGACTTGTCGGGGCGGCTGCTCTCGGGCCGTGTCGGAGTCCTTCCGAGGGAGCTCGAGTCACTGGACCTTTCAAATACCAACGTCTACGGAAACACCAGCGCCTTGCAACACCTGACGCAGCTGATGCACCTGGACCTCTACCACACCCAAATTGCCGGCGACCTCCAGCCACTGGCTCCCCTCACCCAGCTGCGACACCTGAACTCCTACAAGACCCAAATTGCCGGCGACCTCCAGCCGCTGGCTTCCCTCACCCAATTGCAGGGCCTGGACCTCTCCAAGACCCAAATTGCAGGCGACCTCCAGCCGCTGGCCTCCCTCACCCAATTGCAGGGCCTGGACCTCTCCAAGACCGAAATTGCAGGCGACCTCCAGCCACTGGCTCCCCTCACCCAGCTGCGAAGCCTGCAGGTCCACGACACCCAAATTTCCGGCGAGCTCCAGCCACTGGCTCGCCTCACACAGCTGCAGTACCTGCTCCTCTACAAGACCCAAATTGCCGGCGACCTCCAGCCACTGGCTTCCCTCACCCAATTGTGGGGCCTGGACCTCTGTGACACCCAAATTGCCGGCGACCTCCAGCCGCTGGCTCCCCTCACCCAATTGCAGGGCCTGTTTCTTTCAAACACCCAAATTGCTGGCGACCTCCAGCCACTGGCTCCCCTCACCCAGCTGTCACACCTGAGCCTGTCCAACACCCAAATTTCCGGCGACCTCCAGCCACTCAAAGCCCTTGCCGAGCTGCAGATCCTGCGTCTTGGAGGAGCCCCCGTGAAAGGCCAGATTGAGCGCCTTACCGGCTTGCCAAACCTGACTGAGGCACGCTTGTTTCCTCTCAGTTGTGGGGAACTGGCGGGCTGACGACTTGTAGACTTGGCAGCGGTACTTTTTGCAGGCACGGGTTTCCAGTACTTGTTGCCTGGACCGTAGGACGCTGCGCGTGTGCATTTTCTTGGGGGCTTGTATTATTTCTTGGAACACAATGGCATAGTGCCATGTGTGGTGGAATCGCTGCTGCTGATATGAAAAAGTTATGGAAACAGTAACTTGGCCTACTAACGGAAGATACTCTGAGGGCAATCGTGGCGGCAGGTACTGCAGCAGCCTGTGACAAGACCGGATGGACATCCTTTATGCCCCATTGGGAAAAACTGATAGGTCGAGAACGCGTTTGAGATGGTTCCCAAAGATGATAGTCAAACCTAACGTGAGACCGGTGATAAACACATTTCGGTGTCTATCTTGGCGTCACCACCCCGGCAAATCCATCGAAGCGGGCAGTCTTGTCGAAGGTCGATCTCAGCTCCACGCAAGTTCACGGGCACCTTGCCGTTTCCTGGCGCGGCCGCCTGGCTATCAGCCACAGGCTTTCAAATTTGGCCGCAGGCGTTTCTTGAACTGCTCGTTTCGTCTTTTCCTGAGGCCGGCTGACGAAGCTTGCTACCCTCAACCTGGCGGTCGGGCCCTTGGACTTTGCTGCCGCATGTGCTGCTCCGAGCTGCCTTGTGCCCAGGGCAGCCAGGCCGAGTTCCTTCCAAGCGGAAAAGAGCTCCAGGAGCTCTTCATCGAAGACTCGTCCCAGAAGCTCCTGCCAGCACTGATGACCTTGGACGCAACTTTGGCAGAATACTAGTGACTTCTGGTGTGTCCATCCCTGGAGGTTGCGCTCAGGAGGGTTTAGGCGGAGCTGAGGTGTCAGACTGCCCTCTCAATGGTCCTGTGGAAGACCTCCTCGTGCCGCTGGCGGCTTCAGGGCAACTCACCCGCCTGCTCGCCAAGCGTGCCAACCTTTCTGGGCATGTGCCAGACATAGCTTGCCTTAAGGGAGCAAGAGTAGATGGCACAATCTGGGCTGCGTACTGCGGACTTCCCTTGTCCAAGTCGCTGCAAGAGCTGGACCTCTCGGGCAACAAGATTTCCGGTGCGGACGCCCTGCAGGTCCAGATGTACATCTCATTGGCCAACAACCCACCGATTACGTTCGCAACTGGTACTTTACAGAGTGCCCTCAAAAAGAACCTTCAGCTGGACCTAAGTGGCACGGCCATCACAAACTCGCGGGATATCTCACGTCTCTTTGAGACAGGTGCCTTGCGGATGACAGCGCAGACGACCACGACAAATGCCACTGGCGGTTACAGCTGCCACGACGTGACGCCGAGCTCACTAAGAGTGAGTTCCCACATGTTCTGGCCACAAGGCCTATGTGGCTGCATTGCAGGATACGAAGGCAGCGGCACCGACTGCAGTGAGTGCGCCAACAACACCTTCAATGATGCCTTCAACAGCTCTTGCCGTCGCTGCCCGGCAAACAGCACCGCCGGCAAGGGCACTGCCTCCATCGATGGCTGTCGCTGTGACCCGGGCAGGACTCATGAGGTTCACAGTGGCTCACGTGGCTCCAACCGTTTCATCCTTGGACAGTTTCCCCAAAGCCTCGAACGTCTGCTTTTGCTTGGCCCCTGAACCACAAAGTGCTAAACCTATCCCCAACATAAGCCTCCAGCTGCCTGCGCAGGATGATTAACGATGCCTGCCAATGTGATCACGGAGAAGCCTTATCCCAGTTCCTGGAAGCAAAGCATGTGGTTGCTTTCAGGGCGCATACGGTCTTTGGGTTTGATCCTCTCCCTCAACAGCTTTAAGATTTGGGGGTTCAGCTGACTCTAATTCTAGGCGCTCTGCGTACCTGTCTAGAGTGCTTGTGCCGCCATTTCGTCATGAGGGTTCTGCAAGAGCATCTAGTGGGCCCGAACTGCGAGATTCAACCCTTCGTGTGGCCTTCCAATCTGAGGAGTGCCTGCGAAGACTGCAGCGCACTCCATCTGGACAGCCTACATACCGCATACCTCTCTCGTATACGATGTGTTCGCACTTCGGGATTTGAGCCTAGTTTTCAGGATTTGGGAGTTTAGGGTCAGGATTTTGCCCCATCGGAGGCTTTTAGCTTGATTGCCGGGCCAACCTGATGGCACGAATTTCCATGCAGGATCCCGGACCGTATACAGGAAGAAGACATGTGCATAGCCGAATTGCAGAGATATTGCGATGATTGCGCTTCTAGTCGTTTGCTCGTCTCGTCTGGCTTCCCCAAACCTCCGTGCATGCATGATGCTTGACGTGGCTGGTGATCATCCTGAAAAACTTATGGGCAACCGCACAACACTTCAACGAGCACGCCATCACCGCCACACATCGCAACCTTGAAGAGCCAAGGATAAATGACCTCCAATTCCAAGTTCTTAGATCTTGATCTCCGCAAGCCAGTATGAAGCCCAAACTGCTCCTGAACAGACGCATCAAGGCCCCGACCTTTGAAGCGTCCACACGCTCGGAGCGACCTGCGCACTGCCCCTTTGTTTGCTCCCCCTCTGTCGTCCCCCTAACCCTAAACCCTAGAACACAGAGAAAAAACCTTAAACAATCGCAGAAGCTCAGACTCTAAATCCTTGAATCATGGGCGCAGGACTGCCCTGTCGGAAGCACCGTGGAAACGGCGAAGCCCAAGGTTGGGTTGGGGAGCATAGGATTCTTACAACTTCTAGACGTCCGAGATATTCTGCATTGTGATGAGTGGGGAGCTGTGTACACGCATTCCGCGGGTGAGATCAATCTGCGCGCTTGCGTGGCCGCAACACGAGGGATTCAAGGGTGCATGCAGATGGAGGATGACCTATATAATGCCAGAACAGGTGCCATGAACACACAGGAAACAACCGAAACAGCAAGAGAACGAACGAGGTGGGCTACGCGCGGCTGGTCCGTCAGGCTTCCGTGGTTTTCAGGTTCCGCAGGGATCAGAGTGCTGAATCAATGTTCGCGGGCCTCACTGTTTCTGTAGGTTCAACATGTACTCACCTGCAACAGTGCTGAGTTCGCAAGGTGAGTGCAGACGAACTGTGACTTTAGGTCCAGCTAGCTATAGGTTTTTGCTGCAGACATTTCTTTGAGAATTACTCACCGATGCGTGTACGGAAAAGAATCTTTCATTCCCAGTTGGCGCTTGGACTAAGAGGGCTGGTCATCCCCTCGCGCTCTGCAGGTGCTTGGATCCGGCTGAGGAGCGGTGCAATGCTTCAGGGAGCCCTGACATAGGCTGCACGACCGGTGGCCCGGCAGACGCTAGAGGGGCTTCTTAGAAATCATATAGTCAGGGCAGCTGCTTGAAAATCGCCTCCTGCCGTGCTCAAGGCTACGAAGGGCCTCTCTGCATCGCCTGCTCGGAGGGCTACCGCAGCCGCTCCCGCCAGTGCATCAAGTGTGATGTGGCTTCCGACACCCGTGGGACAGCGGCCGGCTTTGCCATAACGGCTGCAGTGGTAGCGGTGGTGGCAGGTGGCATCTGCTTCTGGAGGAGTTGCATGAGCTGCTAGCAGTAGTTTACCAGTTTTAGCTAATGGGTTTCTCGAAGCCTCAGCCAGCACGGCTGGTGTCATGCGGCAGGAGCCTTGCGGCGGATTCAGGGCCGGCGGATGCAGTGCCCGTGCCGCAGAGCGTGACTCGCCTGCAGCCGTTTCAAGCATATTAGGCAAAAGAGCACGCAGGAACTTCCTTCGGCTGATGCTTGAAGAGTGTAGGGCCTAGGGGGTTTCCGCCGCAAGTTTTCCAAGGTCTTGCAGCCTTTGCTTCTAGCCCAGGGCCCTGTGCTGCTCCAGCTGTTCCAGCTGTGGGGCGTGCTGCTTGGCCACGTCGTGGGGATCGTTCCTCAAGGATATCGGTTTTGAAGAGAGTCCTTCGATGCAAACATGACGTTTGAACCCTTGAATTGGGCTACACCCCATGACTTCAAACTCAGTGAGGCTGGTGGCCCTGTCGAAACACAGGGACCAAGGAGGTGGTGGAGGCTCTGGAGGTAGTGGAGGTCTTTGGGAAGAGGACCGGGCCGTCGGATTTGAGTCAGGATGCCGACCTCTGCCTGCCTTGTAGTCTACTAGTATCAACTAGTACCCTTCCATGCATGAGCTCCTGCAGTGCTCCCTGCAAGGAATATGTGCAGTGGCTGCAGATGACAGCAAAGGGCTTCCGTGATGCCATGAGCTTGGAGTGTGCGTACGGCAGGACGCCCTGTGCTGAAGCTGTGTAGGCGACGGAGTTGAGCTTGCATGAAAGTCCTATAGTCACCCGTTACTACGAAGCAAGCACACTGCAGACACTTTACTTCTGCAGGAGCGCCCAGTCCCTATGCGCCTTGGCTTCGCCCTGCATCCCGCTGCTGCTGCTGGCACTGTGCATGCCTTTGGAGGCGGTGCGGCATGGAGCCGGCGCGGAGCCCGGATGGGGCAGCAGCTCAGCTCCACAAGCACTCGAACTGCAGTCACTCAGGCGTCAGCTCGGCCCTGAAGTTGCTGACGGCGCTCTTCATCGGGGGAGCCTCCAGCTGCACGGCACTACTCAGCTGCCACAAAGTCGATGGAGGCCCTGATACCTCTCATACCTATGGAACATGTCACATGATAGGCTCTTCTCAGCGAAGAGGCCGAAGTCCGGAAGCGTGACAGGTGGCGAGCCCTTGCAGGAGCATGCCTTCCGCGTGGCCTTGCCGCTTGTGAAGTGCGACGCAAGGGGCGGAGAGGCAGCCTGGGCGCCTTGGGCTTTCCAAGTTCGTAGATCACGTGTCCCAATGGCGAGGACGACAACGAGAATAAGAGTCAGTTGTGATGATAATAATCATGATGATAATGATAGTGATAGCAACAACAGCAACAACAACAACTGAAAAAGTAGACGAACTCAGAAGTCTACACAAACAGAGCTCAACCCTGAAGTCAGCGAAGCACTCAGCGAAGTCCTCTTTAGCCCAAGCGTCTTGAGCCACACGCGAAGTGTGGAAGTGCAGGTCACAGCTGCAAGACTGTACCAGGGAAGTGTGCCAGAAGTGTTACATCTTGACAAAAACAACAACAACA